CAGATTCAAGTCAGAATCTAAGGAGAACGTTTGCATTCGCAAAAACCCCATGGTTTTATACTTTTCTAATTAAAATGGTGCAATTGAGCATAGAAATTAGTTAACGAGATTTAATCTCACTCACCTGTATATAACGTCACACTGTACAATTTATATTCGTATTGCCAACTACTCTCATAAAATCTAAATAATTTTACATAGTTTTGTAGCTGAAGAAATAAGCTATTTGATGTGTATCTGAAATGTATCTGATGTGTATCTGAAGCTATCTAATGATGTATAATTCAGCTGTGCAAGTCTAATAACAGCCTGTCGACATCAATTTCAACGCGGATGTAGGCGAGGTTTGATTAAGTTACCCTACAGATGTTTTATCTTTTGTGCGACGGAAAAAAAGACGATGATAATTTGAATAAAAAAAAAAAACAAAGAAAAATTCAATGTGCAATGAGCAACAAAAAAAACAATGATAGTCAGATAAGAAAATATATAGTTCTGCTGTATACAAGGTTGTCAAACGACAGAGGAGAATACAGCACTAAATCTGTTAAAAAATATTTTTCCTGTGCTTTTCTTCGTAAAAGCCAGACATATGGCAACCTTACTTTTTTTTTCATAAAATGGTTTACATAAGAGATCGTCCATAAATTACGTCACGCAGTTATCAACCGTTTTTGACCCCCCCCCCTCCTTTCCTCGTCGCAAAATCGTAACATTCAAGTAGCAATTTTGTATGAGTCGTCACAAAACCATCAACCCCCTCTTCATTTAAAGTGTGATGTAATTTATGGAAGACCCCCAAGTAAAGTTAACAAAGAATAAATTAAATTTGAAGCGGAATCACGCTCAGAACAGAAAAACGTCATTTTTAGATAAACTTTATTTCCTCGGAAAATGTAAGTTTCATTTTTTATTTTTCAGTTTTTAATTTTTCTCAGAAATAGGATTTTGTTACAGTCCCCTAAATTTATACAAAATTTTTTAAACTTCTATTTGACCTATTGGCTTGAAATTTTCACAGCACCTTCTTTAATATAGGAACAAGGTTCTGAACTAAAGGCAACTATATAGAGCAAACAGATCTTGTGTAGTTGTATTATTTTTTTAAGAACTAGTTTTCTTAATGCTCAAAGTATTGTCTATTGTTATAGATTGGTAATGTTTTTTTAGTTAGATTTTAGTTTTATCATCATTCAGTGAAAATTTGATTCAAATATTATTAACAGACACTTAAAATCTAATGTTTGAAGTTTTTAACTTTTTTAAGAATTTTTGCTGACACATCATTGAATTTGTAAATTGCTTTGAATAGGCGGAAACTTCTAAGTACAAGTATATTAAGCCTAATTTTAAAAGACAAACGTAAAAAGTTTTTTCTCGTTTGTATTATTGCATCAATAAAGGCTACAAATGCTTTATAATTTGTTAAAACTTAAATATAGTTTTCATTATTTTTCTTGTAATTTTGGCAAAATTATAGTGGGTTATTCAACATAAAATCTAGCAACTTTCAGCTAATTAGATAAAATAATTATAAAATTATAGACATAAATACTACGGCATTTCAAATTTGTTTAAAAAATGCTGCCAGCATGTTGTTTAACGCCTAAAGTATTAAATTATATTTAATTTTAATAACTATTCAGTTTAACTCGTGCATTTTCAATTCACAAGGAAAAAAAAAATTGTTTTATTTAAATAATCTTTTGAATTATTGAAATTCGAAAATTAAAATTCGAACTTTCAGTTTTCTAAATAAATAAAGCTTAAACTTTCATTAGTTGTATATCTTAAGGAGGCTACCTAATGTTAATATGCAATAAAATTAAAAATTTAGTTTTAGTGGAGTAAATTCATTTTATTTTATTTTTAAAATTATTTTATTGTAAAAAGTTGTGCATTCTGCTGCAACCCTCGGAATTAGGGTCGCCATTCGGCAATGTTTGAAACGGCATGTCAATGTCACCATTCGGCAATGTTTGAAACAACAAGACTCTCAAAATTCTCAATTACATATCGTGGTCCCTATTTATTTAACAAATTAGTTTCCAGAAACGAATCACCTAAACAACCTAAACAACTCTAAACAACGAATACTCTCTGAAAATATTATTAAAAAAAATTTTAAAAAATGTAGCTTAACTTTTAATACAAATCAATAATAAAAAATAATAATATTAATAACAAGGCATATATGTACAACATACATATATACCACGTATGCAACTGATTTTAATGTGTATTACAGGTCCAGAAAAAGATACTCGATGACAAGACTGACTTAGTCTTCTGCGAACTTCCTATAACTACTAACAAGTAATTCTTCTTATCAATCTTACAAAAATTTCGTTTTTATCATATTTATACACACACATTACTTTGAAATTTGGTAAAGAAACTTATAGTCAAACATCTAAACATCACTTCTCCGTAAAATCAGCTAAATTATTTTTATTTATCGTATATTTTTATTTTAACTGAAATAATATAGAGATGTATTTATCGGATTATATTTATGTACACGTTACGACATTGTTGTAATTGGTGTTTATTTTAATCGTGTCTCGGAGTTGTATGCAACTATATTTTTGTTTACTTTGTATATTTCTAACTTTATGTTTATGTTACTTATGTTAGTATATCTTTAAAACCAATCTGTGATTGGTTACTTGTAAATACTTTGTAGTTGTAAAATAAACATGTAAAAAAAAAAAAAAAAAAAAAAATGTCGACCTAACTGCCGACCTAAAAGTGTTTGAGCTCAGCAAAAAAAAGCCGACCTGGTTTCTATGTTTAATGTTAAGACCTTTGTATCAAATTATTTTTGCCGACTTAATGCCGACCTCGAAAAGATTGAGGTCGGCAAATTATTGCCGACCTCATTTTTCCTAATTCCGAGAGTTGCTGCTGAGGAAACTGAAGATATAAGAAAATAAAGAAATATGAAATGTTTAAGTTTTTATTTGTTATAAACAAACGGCCGCGGCGCAGTGGTTAGAGTGGTTAGAGCGCAGTGGTTAGAGCACTTGCTTAAGAAGCAAGAGACCTAGAGCTAGAAGCAAGCTCTGAGAATATTTCGCCCCATCGTTAGAGAAGAGGGCATGAATTCTCTAGTTAAATGCTGTAATGCGGTGCTCTGTGACAAGACCGTTAGGTTTTTACTGTGGCACCTAAAACAAAAAATTTAAAAAATATATAAATATAAAAAAACATAAACAATACAAAAATTTTATATTAAAATTATTAAACTAACTGTTAAAAGTTTTGGATTTGTGTTCTTTTTGAAATGGCGGGTTCAATTGATGTGCTACAAAACTACTTAAATATTACAACACATTTTTCCAAATATATTCAGAAAGCCTTCAATCCGCATATTGATACAACTAACAGACAATTCAAAAACAAAAAATAGAATTAAGATCTATTCTTTATCATAAACAAAGAAAATGTCAATTAATATAATTCGTTGCATGCTGGTTTACTATTTGGGTTATTAAAGTAATTATGTAGGGAACGTAAAAAAAGTAATCTAATAATGGCTGAACTCATATTATATGTATAAAGCATGTATATATAATATAATATATATTATATGTATATATATATATATATATATATATATATATATATATATATATATATAATATATATATATATATATATATATATATATATATATATATAAGGCCGGCGCGATAGGAAGGGGGTGTCACCCCCCCCCCCCATTAACGATTTTTAGTCAAACCCAAATAGTAAACCAGTTGCATGCTGGTTTACTATTTGGGTTATTAAAGTAATTATGTAGGGAACGTAAAAAAAATAATCTAATAATGGCTGAACTCATATTATATGTATAAAGCATGTATATATAATATAATATATATTATGTGTATATATATATATATATATATATATATATATATATATATATATATATATATATGTATAAGGCCGGCGCGATAGGGGGGTGTGTCACCCCCCCCCCCCTATTAACGATTTTTAGTCGGCAAATTGGACCCTTTTAGATTAGTTAATTGGCAAATGTCGACCCTTTTGATATAGGTTAGTCGGTAATCTTGACAGTCGGCAAATGTCGTCATGGCAGTTTTTTTTTAAGTCAGCAAAAGTTTTAATGACACCCCCCACATGACACCTACTCGCACCGGCCCTATATATATATATATATATATATATATATATATATATATATATATATATATATATATATATATATATATATATATATATATATATATATATAGATTGTTTATATATTATATTAAATTAAAATAATACAAAAACTCTTAAACTTAAAACAGTGCTCAATACTATAATATATATAATATAATAGAGCAAAAAATATTTAAATTTTGTTTAAATGATGTTGTTTTTCATTTAAACAAAATTTATATATATATATATATATATATATATATATATATATATATATATATATATATATATATGTATATATATATATATAATATATATATATATATATATATATATATATATATATATATATATATAATATATATTTATATATATATATATATATATATATATATATATATATATATATATATATATATATATATATATATATATATATATATATATATATATATATATATATATATATATATATATATATATATATATATATATATATATATATATAGACACATACCCAACTTTACAATTTATAATAAACTTAACAAAATTAGACAACTCAGTACTGTCTGCATAAAAACAAAACACTAATACCCCTGCAAAGTTTGGAATTTTTTTAGCATCTTTTTAATATTTTGTTACACAAAGTTGTATATTCTAAAAAGTTTTGTTATTTTTTAAAAAGATGCATTAAGTTTAAATAGAGCGTACAATAACTTATTGTAAAATATGAAGTTAATCCATAGCATAACGCAAATTTTATAATCCACTCGTATCAAAAGGTAACGTGCCAAATATAACTATAATGGAATATTTAAAAAAATAATGCTTATTGAAGAAAAATGGTAAGCAAATTTTTTATTATATATTTTTAAACTCACAGTAATAAAGAACAATTTTCAACAAAGTAAATGTTTTTAGGAAATTGTTTTAGTTCCTTATTTTTTTTTCTTTTTTTAATTAGTTTAAACTTGTTTGATCAATATACATTAGCTGTCAATAATAGCAGTATTTTGAGTAGTACAGACTAAACAAAATAAAGACAATAAGTATTCATGTTTTTTTAACCACACGCCTTACGCCCCATTCTATTTCGACAAACTTTGAAGATTTCAAATACCTAAAGATTACAGATACAAACTTGTGTAATGACGCATTTATCAATTAATCAATTTTAACATGACTCTCTATTGAGTTAAAAATGAAAATGCTATTCCATATGTCTCTAACGTTGTCTAATAGTCACGCAAGGGAATCGGTATGAAGGAATACAGCTTTCCCTTACTATTTTGAAAAAGTTAAATTTTTTTCGTTTTCTCTAAGCTAATCTTTTAATCTTAATGATAAAATATTTGAAATAAATTTTTTTAATTATAATTCAACAATTCAACAATTTTATGTTTTTAAGCATGAATAGAATGAATGAATATGACAATAATGATAACGTTTTACACATTTACTAGCATCTCTATTCTAAAGAAACAAATATCTCAAAAATTTGTTGTTTATCAATTTTACACCCGTTTTCAATGAAATTTAATTGAAAATTAAGGAAACAAAATGTTCATAAAACAGTTTAAACAAAATATAAACAAATAGCGTTATTAAAATGTATTGTTGGACCAACCTCATTTTGCATTGGATTTGGATTTAGACCAACCGCATTTTGAGTTTGTTGACGCAGTTGAATTAAATTTGAATTTGGGATTACACGCAATTTGTGTTTATTGATACAATACAAATAACCGATATAGTTAATGTTGCGTAGATGCATGAGTTAAAAACACATTGCTTGTGAAAATATAGTATCTCAAGTAATTTTTGTAAAGGTTAAATAGTATAAAATGACGAGTTAGACTTGTGGAGCATTGTGCTATTTCCAAATTTAAGTATATTCAAGTCTATGCCAATTGAGGAAGTTTTGCAAAAAAATGCGATGATGTAGGCTTGGGAACAAAAATATCCTAAAATTTAGGCTATCCCCTTAGTAAAGTTAAAAATTTTACTACATAACTGCCCTCACCTTTGGGCAAGGGGTAGCCTAAATTTTAGGGTATTTTTGTTCCCAAGCCTCTATCATCGCAATTTTTTGCTAAACTTCCTCATTTGGCATAGGTATGAATATACTTTGTTTAGAGTTAGCACAATACGTGAAAGTGTTATATCTGAAACATTAAAAAATTCTGTAGGCGCCCCTGACAGTATTTCAACAATCACCAACCATCTCAAAACCAAACATAAAGCATCTTAGAAAGAACATCTTTTGGAAACCACCAAAACACTTAATAAATAAAAACTTGGTAAAGAAAAAGGGGCTAAAACAATAACAATTGAAAGTGTCTATTTTTGAAGTGAAACTATAAAAAAATCATAAACACGGGTTAAATAATTCAAGGCAATTAAAGTTTGACTTGAACTCAACAAACTTTGTTTGCAACAGGTCTATCTCAAGAATTTATCAATGGAGCTGATAAATCAAGAAGGTCAAGAATTTATCTATGAAATAAATAATAAATTTATTGTCAAATCTGCTTCAACATTTAGAGGTCAAAAACTTCCAGCGTTATATGAAAAGAATGGGTTAAAAATTTCTCAAAGATTTTCTTCAAGTAAATAGAGTTCAACACAAGAATGAATTTCTCTGGACAAAAGTTTCTGTCGTTAATGCAGGCCATGCCTGCGTTAATGACAGAAAGTGATGAAGTTAATTCAAAATTGTGCTGCAAGAGCCCAATCCAGTTAGTTATTTATAAAGCAATCAAAATTTTAATTGAAATTAATGAAGCAATAAAAAAATGTACAGATTTAGCATCACATACATATAGAAGGGTTCTTTCTACAACTAAGCTTCAAGATACATGTAAAGGATTTGGAATCAAGCCAAGGAAATTGATTCCTCCAACTAAAATATGATTGAATTGCGAGTGCATGCGCATAAATTCAGTCCTTAAAGTCAAAAATGCAATCAAAACACTTGCAAAAGCTAATGGAGGTTTTGAAAGGTCATTCCTACCAAACAATCAATGGAAGACAGTAGAATACAGCATTTAACTTCTTTAAAAAATTTTAGTAACTTTACAAGCCCATAAAAGACCAACAATCCAAAATGTGATTTTTGTAATATAATCCTTGCACCAAGAACTTTTTGCCCTTAAACATCACAAACACAAACTATTAATAATTTTTATCAAGAATGCTGATTTATGAAGAAAAATATCCTCTTAATGGTGCTGAGCAGCAATTAATTGTTTTGAAAACTTTTTTTAACCCACAATAAAAAAGCCTGCAACTGATTGAATATGAAATATGTGATGAAGTAAAAGAAGCAAGATCGACTCAGGAAAAAGAGAAAATACACAAAAAAGCTTTAATCAGTAGCAGCAAAATGGACAATGAAAGTGATCAAAATATGTTTCAATTACAACTTTATTGGATTTAGAAATTATTTAGCAGCCGAAACAGCTGAAGAAAACACAAATATTTTAAAGTGTTGAAAAGTTATGAAGTTGTAGTACCCAATTTTATTTAAGTAAAAAAGTTTTTTATAAAACTGGTAATGTCGTCACTGCTAAAAAAACTACGTTGCCGGTTGAAAATGTTGAGACGCTTGTTTATATAAAAGAAAACATTTTTAAAAACTATTATTATTTTTTTTGTTTTATTGGCTGATTTTAAAAATCTGTCATTCTAAAATAAATGACCTCCTAAAACTTTGGTTTTTAACCGAACCGATCAAAAAAATTTAAATCGAACCAAAACAAACCTTATATTTGATTTTATTGTTTGAAACCGGGTCAAAAATATCCTCATTCGCAAGGACTTCATTCAGTATTAAACCTTTATTTATTTTTCATTTTTATCTCTATAATGTCTTTTAATTTTTATTATAACTTCAAATCTAGAAATTTCAAGACTATATACACTTGTATAAACTTAGATTACTTAAAACGTTTTATCACAAAATAATAAAATTTGTTAACTGCTTTATTAATCTTTATTAAATTAAATAATCTTCTATAGGAGATTATTGGAGACATACAGAGGGATTTGCAAAGCATTATAAAATAAAAATAATCAGTACTAAAAAAAGGTATCACGAGGCTAAGCACACTAATCAGCTGTCACACGGTAGAAAACTTTGCAATGGGGAAATCACTTAATGAAATAACCGTCAGTGAAAGTATTTTTATTCTCTATTAAAATCTGACTTAATAACTAAAAAATTAAAAAACCGGTGCGTTAAACAAAAGAAAATCTTCTTTGCAATATTAAATTTGCGTATTCTAGCGTGCTTAACGCATAGGGTGAGAATTTTATTAACACAGAAGAGGGGGGCATCTTAGTAAAGGGGTTGGGGAAAATTTTTTTACAACATGAATAAAACAATTTAATTCTAGTATAGCTTGCTGTCAAACGCGCATTTTTAAATAGCTTTTTTATTTTTGAAGACTTTTTGAAAATTTTTTGATATAATCATCATTCATAAGAATAAATATTTTCTGAAAATTTTTCTTTTTATAAATGATGAATGCATTTTCTGACTTTTTTTTTTTAGTTTTTAAATATTATTTTTTCAAAAAAAAAAAAAAAAAAAAAATTATTTTCTTGTTTATACTTCATTCTTAACAAAAATGTTAAAAAAAAAAAAAAAATTTTTTTTTTACCCAAACAAAAATTATTCAATTTATTGAAATTGCGTTTAATTTGACGTGATATGATGCTGACATCCCAAACATTACAATTCAGTTTACCAAATGTATATATTAATCTTAAGCTGACATAGATTTTTAGTAGGCCGTATGTTAGTCTTGTGTTGACATATGATCGGTTGCCTAAACGTTCTTGTGCCCACTACCCAGTGGGCACAAGACGTTTTTTAAAACTCCATATGAAACGGTGAACAGACGTTTTTTTTAAAAACGTTTTGTGAACGTTTTTAAATGGACCTACAAAAAAGTTTATTATTGGTTTTTAAACGTCCATATGAAGTGGTGAACGGACGTTTTTCTGAAAACGTTATTTATTGATTTGTATTACGTCTAAATATAACATTTTGTCGTTTTTAACATTTTTCTAATAACCTTTTTTTTAAGTATCAGTTATTTAAGTAAATAACTTCAGAAAAAAAACCTTTTCACAAATGAAAACTTAGGTCTAACAGTCTAGATCCAGATAAATAATTAAAAATTTTAACATTTTGTGTTTATTTACAAATTAAGCATACAAAAACGTAATAAAGTAGTTTTTTTTATATACTATTAAGCTATTTATTATATTATTCTCATCAAAAAATCACCTTTCAACTTATTGACCAAATCGATATTTGCTGTATGTGACACTAATGTTCCTAAAAAAGCAAAATACCATAGAAATCTTTCATGCATTTCACTAGCATATAAAAAAATGCACCAAAATGTGAATTATAATAATAAGAAATGAGTAATGGAAAGTATCACACAGTATATTAAAGAACCAATATAAAAATTTAAAAAGTATCTATAATTACACTACTCAATATAGTTTATTCAAAATGATCTATTTCTATAAGTTCCAGCTTTCTTCAAAAATGGTATAACACATTTTGACATTATTTCATCCAAAACATTATCAGTTGAGCTGGAAAAAAACCTTAAAAAATCATAGAATATATTTAGTTTGATCATATTTTACTTTATTTACGAAAACTTTATGCATAAATGTAAACAACAATATAACAACAAATAAAACTTTGAAAATTTAAAACTATTTTACTTTTATCAAACCTTGTTATATCATTTATTTTATCATAATAAAATTATGAATCTTCAAACTCAGTCTTTATTCCCAGGATGTCCACTACAGATAAAGACTTTTTAACACTTTAGGCATATAGTTCCATATATATTGCAGATTGAAAACCTATTAGAAAATAAAAGTTCGAACTAAGTAAAGTATTAATAAAAAACTGTTGTGGAAAACTGAAAATTAAATTAAATACAAAAAACATCTTTTAAAAAAGGAAAAGACAACATTTAATAACATACTTGTTCAACTAATAGACTTAAAACTTGATGGCAGTTTATCATAACAATAAAGTACAGCAATCGATCGCTGAAATTTTTTTTTAACTTGTTGAAGAAATGTTTTATGTATTATTTATAATGTATTATTATGTATAATGTATTACTTAGAAACTTATTAAAAATACATACACATTTTTAAATATTTAGAAAAACATTTTTGTTTATTTGGCATAAAATTTTGAATAAAAACAGATGAACTTACATTTGGCAAATTTTTGCACTTTAATATCAGGATATGCTTCTCTAATGAGCAAACAATTATGATTTTTTTTACTTATCATTCTAAAATTGATATTAAAAAAAATACAAAAATTGCACACTTCAATATTATATATCAACTTACATTGAAGTTTTTAGTTAAAAATATTAAATATAACACCAATTTTGAAAAATCATATAAAAACTTGCATATATGAGCTAAACTTAAAAAAACAACCTGATTCTAGTAGTTTAGAACTTGAAGACTCTGAATCACTTTACGCATGCATCTTACATCTTTTTGTTCTTTAGTCAAGATTTAGGTTTGTCAATATTTATAATTGCCTTACTTTATAAGGTGAAAAAAGTATTTTTGTACTTTGTTACTTAACATACAGTCGCTTTGTTAATATTTTTCTAATAAATGATTTTTACTTTTAAGTAAAGTCTTCTGGTTAGGTTAAAAAAAAATCATGGCTCATTATTATATATGCAAAGTTATTTCTACTAAAAGTTCTACTTAAATAAATCATGTAGGGCAATTGCTAACTGGAGTAGAAATAATCTAGATAGAAACAGCTTTATACCTTTATTAAAAGATTTATTTATGAAATGATTGTAACATAAATTTACTTCATGTTAGGTTTTGATCATTCCATTATAACTATACTTGCATCTTTGTTACTCATAATTGAGAATGGTAGTTCAACTTTTTTCAGTATATATAAAAAATAATTTTACATACATAAAAAAACAACTATAAACAAAAACATACACACAGATTTTATATATATATATATATATATATATATATATATATATATATATATATATATATATATATATATATATATATATATATATATATATATATATATATATATATATATATATATACTTACTAAAGCATGTTTTGATAAGCATTTGTTCTTTTTTTCTGCTTACCTTAAGCTATACTGTTTTTTTCGAAAAAGAAGAAAAAACAAAAAATGATAAATTTTTCGTTTTTTCTTCTTTTTCAAAAGAAACAATTGCTTCCCCATACCAAACCCTCAGTCGATGTAGCAGCACTCCACTGAGAGTCAGGCTATTTGTTATTCAATGTATGAACTGAAGCCCCCAGCAGCAGGTTATTTCAGTATGGCGTCAGATTGCTTACTTTAGTACACAATAATATTTCTATATATATATATATATATATATATATATATATATATATATATATATATATATATATATATATATATATATATATATATATATATATATATATATATATATATATATGTATATATATATATATATATATATATATATATATATATATATATATATATATATAAATTTAAACTCACACAGTTCAGTTTTTTGATTTAACCAAACCGGTGTTCAAACAATAAAGTATCAGTTTTGTTTTTGCCACATATAAAACTGGTATATATATAATATATATATATATACACACACATATATATATGTATATATATATACATTATTGACATTACCAATAGTTGCTAACAGCAACATTAAATAATTATCATTTCCTGTTTTTTTAAAAAAATTATATTTTGTTGTTATAATAACAAAAACAGCACTACTGATAATTTTTTGAAAGGCCTCTAGTGCTAAAATTTATAATTAGAGTAATTTTTGTAAAATTAAAAGAAGAAAATATTTCGTTTATTGTTTATTTTGTTGACTAATTTTTTTACTTATATATATATATATATATATATATATATATATATATATATATATATATATATATTATATTATATTATATTATATTATATTATATATGTATATATACAGTCTTTATAAAAGACCCTATTCTTGCGGCGAAAAAACCACGTGATCATTGCGTAATTAAAAACAAAAATATCTACCATTATGATATGGGGGCAAACAAACGCGCTGATTTCAGTACATCATTACTTAAACGTCTTGAAAATGTCTTATGATTATCAAGAGAAGTTATCTAAAAAAGCTGCTGAACGTTACCAGAACAATATTTAGCGTTATATTGAAATAAATCTGTTTAAATGCTTATAGGAAACATGGAATTTAATTAATTCATCATTTTGAAATTATTGCACAGTTTACAGATGTAGTCAATAAATAAAACAAAAATATTACATATTGATATTCTAATAACATTTAAAAATTCTATATTTTGCTTAAAATTTTCCTCAGTGTAATATTTATTCCTCATGTTTTTAATATATGTGAAATAAATGTTATAAATAAAAAATATTTTTTACAGTATAATAATGAAATGATCAAAATTACTAATTACAACAATTTGAATTATAACATCGTAACAATATTTATAAAGCTTTTTGGTAAATGGTATGAGGATTAACAATATTATGTCTTGGCTTTGAAAAAATAACATAAATGACTTTTTATCTTCATTCACAAAGGTACTCTCTAAAACCAGTGACAACAGCAGAAACTCTACTAAAGAAAATAGAACCAATTTATGCTGAAAGCATTAACAAATTAATGTTTTATGTATCATGTTAACATGAAAAATAAAAATTTAATTATAAATATATATCTAAATAAATAATAAAGAAGAAACTTACTTTGTAAGATTGTTTTTGTGACCTAGGAACAATCCTAAAGATTAAAAATGACAACATTAAAAGTATGTTTTACTTTAAAACATGTTTCTTGCCTATTAGTAAATGATTAGAAGTAACGAGTTCAAGTAAAAATAATCATTTCTAATAATCTAATAATCATTTGTAGCAAGAGACACCAACGAGAAAGTAAGCAAAGTTGTCTATCAACACAAAGCCTCACAACAATAACATCACTATAATAACACAATAAAACAAAATAAAATTATACACATAATGACTTACAAGTGAATCAACACCGCACTAGAGGTTGAAACAGAACACAAACACACATATAATGTCTAAAGGGTGAGCCAACACGACACCAGAGGTCGACACAGAACATAAACACATATATATTGACTTATGAGTGAGCCAACAAACACATAATCACTTACCTAGCCAATGCTGCATTATTTTTAAACTACCATCATTCTCAGCTAAGTTAACTTGTTGTTTCATGTTGGTTCAAGACACTAACATCTTCCACTCCAGTCAATGAATTGTCAGTACTTATTTGTTAACTGACTTTAATAACTTAAGATTTATTGCAATGACTTTTTTGTACATAATATTCTAAAAAAGTATAAGCATGTTTGAGGTATATAGTAAATACAAAATTTGTGCTTAACAAGCTATTGAACATTAATTTATTTAAAAAATAAAAACAATAAACACATGATTTATAAATGCTTAGTTTTAATGCATTAATATTTATATATACAATTTATTTTTGTTATGCGTCAATGCATAACAAAAATAAATTGTAACTATTACATAAACAGTTTTTACAAAAACATTTTAAACAACAAGATAAACTATATTATATAGTTTATCTTGTTGTTTATACAGTACATATAATACTATATAGTATATACTAATTGAATTGTTTAATCTATTTATTCTCCTTTCATTTCACATAACAATTGGTTATGTTGGAGGGATGATTTCACTATATATATATATATTTTTAGCAACATATTTACTGATGGAACATAGTCAACATGCTTTTCAAAATTTTGAAAAGCATCTGGACTATGTTCTTTTTTTTCCTAAAAGAGAAGCATACTTACAATGAATAAAAAACTTAATAAGTTCAAGAAAAATTAGTGCTCAAATATTTTGACGATTCAAATACAAAACTTACCAGATACAAAATGTTTTGAGCATACTTAGACATGTTTTGCGACCTAAGTTTGTTTTAGCAAGATGAATCAGTTCTATATAAAGCATAAAGCCACGATTTTCTTCTCTTTGGATCAGGAAACAAAATATAAAAAATCAAGTTCGGATGACTATTAACATTAAGGGAACAATCAAAAACACATTTCTCCATTTTCAAGCGCTTTGTTTGCCCCCATACCATAATGGTAGCCGTTTAGTTAGTTAAAGTGACGTCACATTCGCCGCAAGAATATCTTAGAAAGAATTAGCTTAGAATGAATAACTAATGAATGTATATTTTATTTTCAAAAAGTTTTTTTTCTGCCGTATGAATTCGTAGATGAAAATGAAAATGCGCCATATTTAAGTAAGGTTGCACATGCGCTTTGCGCTGTATTTAGCTTGGAAACATTTGTTGGAATGGATTAGCTTGGAAACCTTATTTATTGCTATTTAGCTTGGAAACCTTATTTGTAACCTTATTTAACCTGTATTTAGCTTGGGACCTTAAAAAAACGTTTAAAAAACGTTTTTTTAAGGTCCCGTAAAATACAAAATAAATAATAGAAAAAAACCTATTAAAACGTTTTTTAAACGTTTTACTTATATTTATGTCCTTCAAGCGACCATAAAACATTTACAAAACGTTTAAAAAACGTACCTGTGCCTACTAGGTATGTTGGTGTCAAAATTGTTGTCAATACGTTGGTCAATACTTAATAACGCCTTATATAATGCATATTTTACTATGCTGCTTTTACGTCAACTCACCGTTGGTGTAAGATTAATGACGCTATGTCAACCTAATTAGGTTGACATAGCGTCATAACAGTCGACAGCAACACCACGTTAACTTGCTGTTACTGTTGGCAATGCGTTGGATTATGAACGTTGATTATACGATGGTTTTATATATACTCGATATTGTTAACAGTACGTAGGCCTACTTTTTATAATTGTAGACGTTTTATTTAATGATAGAGATGCTTGGTTAGTATGATTCATGTTTCACAAAGTTGGAATTTAATTGAGCCGCTATTAGTTTAACTTATCATTTCGTGACCCTCAGCTTTCATAAAGACTTACACTAAGAAATTTCTCTAATCTCTAATAAAAGTAATCAATCAGAAGGTTAACAACTTTTAACATTTTAACTACATACATCAGAATAACACAAGAGATTTAACTTTGCAGCAGTTGCTGAAAAGTTAAACTTCTTGTTTTATCTGATGTATGTAGTTATAATATTTTATAGACTTTTATTTACTAGATACTGAATAATGTTAATATGTAATTGCGATGCAATCATTTTTAACA